GACGCTGTGTCTTGTTCAAGAGTGGCTTGACACAAGGAATGCGACAGCTGAAACCCATGTCTTGCATACGTCTGTGCGTGGTGGTTCTTGAAGCACTGACTCCAGCTGCAGTCCACTCTTTGTGAATCTCCCCCACATTTTTGAATGGATTTTGTTTCACAATCCTCTCCAGGGTGCGGTTATCCCTATTGCTTGTCCACTTTTTTCTACCACATCTTTTCCTTCCCTTCGCCTCTCTATTAATGTGCTTGGACACAGAGCTCTGTGAACAGCCAGCCTCTTTAGCAATGACCTTTTGTGTCTTGCCCTCCTTGTGCAAGGTGTCAGTGGTCGTCTTTTGGACAGCTGTCAAGTCAGCAGTCTTCCCCATGATTGTGTAGCCTACAGAACTAGACTGAGAGACCATTTAAAGACCTTTGCAGGTGTTTCGAGTTAATTAGCTGATTAGAGTGTGGCACCAGGTGTCTTCAATATTGAACCGTTTCACAATATTCTAATTTTCAGAGATACTGATTTTGGGGTTTTAATTAGTTGTCAGTTATAATCATTAAAATAAAAGGAATGAACACTTGAAATATATCAGTCTGTGTGGAATGAATGTATACATTATACAAGTTTCACTTTTTGAATGGAATTACTGAAAGCAACTTTTTGATGATATTCTAATTATATGACCAGCACCTGTAATACTACCAGTGAGGATGAACTAATTAGGATGAGGAGTGATCTGATACATTTTTCCAATACTTTTATGTAACAGTTATTTGCTTCAACAGGTGGCATTCTATGCAAGGTATCAAATGAAGTACTCTATTGGTATTGGTATCACTTTAAGGGTACTTAGTAGTTTTGGTACTGGTATCGTAAAATTTTAAATGATAACCAACCCTAACACACATTTTATGATGATTACTAACTCAAAGTTGAATTTACTTCCCACAACATCACCAGTTTTCACTGTAATTATGTGTATGTGAGGTTGCAAAGAGTCAACAATCGTTCCCCCTGCTGAAGTGTCCTTGAGCAAGACAACAATCTCCTCTCACCTCCTGGACTGCTGCCCTGGAGCCAACCCTGACCTCTGACCTTCTTTCGTTTGTGTTACTGTGTTTTTTTTTTTTTTACTTGGCCATTGACAGCTATAAACTATAGTGATGAGTGCATGTGAGGCTGATCTCGCGTCACTCAGTGGCCGTCCTGTGTTTAGCATTAGAACTCCAGTATCGTCTGTGTAAACACAGAAGAATAGTTTTTGAAGTGATTGACAGCTGCATGGGTGTTTGACGGACAGGCGGCTTTGTCCCTGAGGGGCTGACTCTGATCCCAGGGCGCACCAAGACAGTGCCTGTATAGAAACAACAAGGGCCGCAGTGAGGATGCACAAGTTGGCAAGGGTAGAGGGTCGGGCTGAGGGTGGGGGGCGGCTCCTCACCTCTGGACACCCACTGACGCACAACAGCGGGGTCAGATGTCATAGCTGGACGTGGAATCACTCATCAGCCTGTTTCATCACTAAAGAGAGCTATAAGTAAATGAAAACTACACTTGTTTGTGCCCTGTTTAAGCACATAAAAGATAAATATAAGGTCTCCATCTTCACTTCAGGAGATATTTGAGGAGACAATGAGGAGGCAGGGTCAAAAAATCATATGTGATTCAAAACACATCCTGCATAAAGAGTATGAATAAATCCCTTCGGAATTGGTATATGCAGGCTGAAGTTCTTAAATTAAGTAATAAATAAAATCAAGTAACAATCTGTAAATATAGTATGGTGCAATATCTACCATTATGGCTGGTGTGGTTGAACCTGTAACTGTTGGGTATTATCCTCCGGTATAAGTCCTTTTATAGGCAAGTCATGCCACTCGGCAGCCATGTGGCAAAGCCTCCGGGTAGCTACTTCGGACTAACAAGACCAGGGGCCGTATTACAGAAAGTTCCAATCTTAAGTCTTAAATTAAAATAGGAAGAGTCTAAAATAGGATTTTTCCGAATTTGGTATTACAAAAGCAAATCCTAACTTAAATTAGGAAAGGAACATTTACTTAGGAACTGATAATCTCTAATGGCCCCAGGCTCCTATCTGAATGAATGGGGAGAGAGCCAGAACTGCAGTTTTACTGGTCACATTACCGGGACATAAAAACGACATGACAAGAATCGGCAGTAAAATCGAATATAAAATGGCTGAAAAAGTTTGACAACTTTGCCCCAAAATAAGGTTTAAAAAGTGTTTTTCCTGACCAGTTACTGCTCATGCATCACTAATACCATGCAAGTGCAGTAGTGGAACCACACGATTGGCTGAAATATCTTTCCCACTTTGGCTGTTTAAAAGCAGATGATTGGCTTTCTAGCAGGAGGGGCAGGATAACAACCATCTTTGGCGTTACGGGTTTTCCCCATAGAGTTGTATTGAGGATGTGATTGAGTGGCGCGTCTCCTCAATAAAACGTCTCTGGGATTATGTAGTATCTAAGTGTTAATGCGATTGCACTATTATCGTATGTATAGAAGGCTGTTAAATTTTATTACACTGATATGTGTAATGTGACTGTATATGTTGTAATCTGTTAAATGTTAATGTTAAGTGCGGTTGTTGTGATGGCTATGTGATGCCAGACGCTGTGGTTTCTTGAATGCCCAAGATGAAATTCTCCCAAGGGAGACAATAAAGGCTAATCCTCCTAAGATATAACATACAGCCAGATGTATGTTCTCAACATGTCAGTTTGGCACTGTTACCCGTATGTTTTAATATGGACTTTTATTATTATAGCAAACTATGACCAAAACTGTCTATTGTAAACATACAGTACATCACAGTTGACAGACTTCCAGATTTAACTTTAACCTACAATACTTGCCGTAGTTGTGAGCGCACAGTCTCCTGCTAATAAGGTGTTTATTACTGTTGTTTCGGATGCACACATGTTCAGTTTTACCATCTGATTTAATTAATCAATTAATTAATAAGCCCAAATCTTTATATTAACTACCTGAAGGTTAAGTGACTAAACAGTTGTGACTTAATTTAAAACCAAATCAGTCTGTCTGAGTTAGTTCCAGTAAAAATAAAAAAGTGTCCATAGCACTGTGTATCAAACTATTAAGTTTCAAGTAGGTGTTGAAAGCCTTGTCAGATTTGTGAGCTTACATATAGCAGTGGAATTGAACTAGCAGCCTTATGTGTGCAGGGTCAACTGTCAGGCTACCAGATCAGCACTCGCATATCAGAGCCCAGAGCAGGTGAATGGGTTTGGTAAAAGCTTGTGGAGGGAAAAGTCCATGCATTATTGATTTTTCTCTATCACACTTTAACACACACACATTTCCATGAGTGTGTGTGTGTGCATTCAGAGAGGAAGTGTGTAAGGGTGGAATATACTAAAAGCTCTGATTTAATGTACTTTGATTTGAGATGATGAACAGAAATGTTGTGCTTTTTTTTTTCTCCAAGGCTGCACGTACATATAAACACGCACGCACGCGCACACACACACACACACACACACACACACACACACATCTGTATCCACTGCTCTGGGAAGCCATTAGTGTGACCCAGGCTTGATTACTTATTTATGGGCCCAACAGAATAAAGTGAGGGAAGTGGAGTACCAGGGGGCCTCATTTATAAAACTGTTGTTTGACATCACCTAGATCTCACCACAGTTAATTTTATCATTTCCAACAATGTCAGCAAAAAAAAGACAGTTGAGTTATACCCATAGCATTCAAAATGGTTAAATACTAGTGATCTATTGGAGGTTGGATGTTTTAATTGGGGATTGATTGTATTAAGCCTGTCATGGATGGGAGGAGTTATTACAGGTGTCTTTTGTTCTGGAAGTAAAAGTTCTGTAAATGTTTTGACTGACAGTTGGAACACTTTATATCAAAACATCAGTACACACACAAAAAAGATGAGAACTGTCAAGGTACAAGTCTATAGGCATCCAATTACTGAGCTGAAAGTCTGTTGTGTGTTCTGCTAATGATGAGCTGAAGCTAAAGATTACGCCTCGTAGAAGATTTAGCAGCTGTTCACTTTTAGATTCTGCAGCTAAAAACATTACGTCAGGCTGTGAAAGCATTTTCACCATAGACAGATATTGTAAAAGAAACTGATACTAATGCGGAGATACTAATGTGCACTTGCAATGGAGAGAAGTTTTTTGGCGCATGCCCTGCGTGAGCAATTTTCATTTTGATTAAAAGGGGCCATCTTGGAGTCTGGTATGGACTTAACATAATATATCCATGATTTTCGTGTGCCGGCTATGCCAGCTTTCATGACAGTGTTGGGCAGTTCTGCACTACTTAGTAACTTGTTTCAGGGATTACTTTTTTCAGTAACAAGTAGTGTAAGGGATTAGAATTTAACATTCAGTTATTTATTACTGTCACAAATACCACTAACTTCAACAATTAACAACACTCTGTGTTCAGTGTACAGTCTGCTACAGAACGTTAGCTTGGTGCATTAGCATCTAAAAAAAGAGAAGAAATGAGCAAGAAGAAACAAGCTTCCCTTTAAATCTTACTATATGACTTGTGGGCGTCGAAGCTCTGGAGCTAGTTTAAAGGCATCTTTGACAAAGGTAGACAGAGTAACAAAGGTAATATAGCTTTTCATTACTTTTTCATTTCAGTAATAAATAATGTAATTACTTTTTCTTGCAACTTGCGCAACACTGGTCACAGAGGTGTGAAATACTGTCCTGCTCTCTGTTAAAACACTGTGGCAGAGCTTCATGAAGACAGTTTGTTGTGCCCACTTTCACTCCTTCTATGTAGTAAATATCGAGTCGGAAGATAATCAAAGTCACTTTGAGAGGTGGGCAAAAAATAAAGCTGATTGGAACATCCCCATAATAACAGAACCTACATCAATGTCCAAATAATATAGAAATGTCACTATCCATTCAATTTAAGTGTCACTTTAGTCATAAGCTGGAGCAATTGCACGTTAAATCATTCAGTCAGTCACAAAGTACACATTTGTTCCGTTTGGAAACTCTGTTTTATTAGTTCATCTTTAGCCAGGAGGGTAGCAGCAGCCACACCACACCAAGAGGAACAAATAAACAAAATCAAAAGACAAATAACAACAACATCGGTGCTCTTCATCTCATCTGACCACTGTAAAATAAATACTTCAATCATCAACACCATTGTTGCAACCATTTAAATAAATATCCATTTAGCAATATCAGCAGTGAAAAAGAAAGTGTGAAATGCATATTGTTCCATATATAATATATTGATTTTAGACAGATTTCTATATATATTTGTTCCATATACTCTCCTTAAATTCTTTTACAACATACACAATGCCAATTTGTACCAAAAGCAATGCTTGCTAAGACACGAGGAGAAGTTTTGTGGTTACAGTGGCAGCCTGCGTACGTACAGCATCAGACAGGTTCCTGACGTGAGCTCCTGTCCTGAGGGAGGAATGTCAGAAAGGTTTGGGAAATCTTGGAAGTAAAAGATTTATATATTGGAACGCTTTATTTGTACATACAGATACACACATCGCAGTCAGCAGAAGTGAGTTATAGAAGTTGCACACCAGTAATAAGTGTAGTTTTTGACTATTCCAAGAGATAAATACCCAAAACAACCCCAAAATGTATTTTTAAAAGGTGTTGAAAACTCACAAGTGCTGTAATTGTAATGACTGTCCTTCATTTCCCATTAAATCCTGTTTAGATTCATCCTTTTCATTTATTGATGCCAAATGTGACACTCTACTGCCATCGTTGATCTAACAAAAACAAAATATCTGAAGAGACATTAGATATATACAGCATAAAACAGTTTGACTGCTTAAACATGAACTCTGACAAAATCATTTGAAATCTGACTCATTTAAAATGAGAATTATTGAAGGTTGATTTGCCTTGTACCCCACAATACTTGCGTGTATCTGTAGTACAAACAAAACATCATACTAAAGAGGTTGCGATTAAACCACGGTCACTGTAAATATAGCTCAGATAAAAAAAAAAACAATCCAGGTACAAGTAAATGTTCCTCAAATCATCACTCCAAGCACCAAGATCTGACTGAAGTTATCCAGCCAATTTAGAGAAGACAGTATGTGTGGGGGGGGGTGTGTGTGTGTGTGTGTGTGTGTGTGTGGAGAACCCATCTGAGGCTGTGACCACAGTAATGCAGTTAAATTTGAAAACAAAGTTTCCATCTTGAAAGTTTTCTGTTCACATTATTGTTCTCAAGAACCACAACAATAAGAAAGTGTTTGTTTCTTTTATCAGGCAGACAAGTTGAACCAGCAGCGTCTGCACATGGCCGCCAAGTGGTTTTCTGCTGCTTTTGAAGCATTGTTTGTCATTCACAGAGCATGCATGCAGGATAGAATGTGCCAGCAATTTATCAAAAATGTCTCCCATGACAAGCATACATCAGCGTTTTCAAAAAGCTCAGTTTATCCTTTTGTCTATACTACCACTTGGAACTGGCAATTTTTTCCACTTGTTCTGCTTTGGGTGGTTGAAAACACTTCTTACTATGGATGAAAAGTGAACATATGGGGGAAAAATTGTTTTCAGATTCATTAGCATGTCAATCTAAGTAATTTGCATTAATAGGTGTCAATTACATAGATTATGATTTTTGGTTGCCAATAATTCTAATAATGATAATGTCATAGATTACACTAAAAATGGTGCAACATTAAAAAAGCGGGGAAAGCCATGTTTGAATTGAGTGTGGTCCTCCATAGTTGCCAATCTATCAAAGTGAAATAAGTGATGGGCACAGAAATATTTGGGGCAACATCCACACATCCTGAAAGCAAACAGCAGTAATGCATTTAATTCATTGGTTTTTTTTTTTAACATTCTTCACTAAATCGTACTTATTGTTTTACTTGTTTATGATCTACTGATGAAACATAAACCATAAAACATTAATTGAATACAACATTTATGTTTCCGTATTGGGAGTCTACATTTGAATGAATGCCAACTTATCTTTCTTTGACATTTTGCTTTATCTTTTTTTTTTTTTTTCCTTCACTTTATCAATTTGTAGAGTAGTTCTGTCAACTTACAAACCCTATTTAAGCCTTAAGGCCTCAGTATGCTTCAAACGTTGTTGGTATAACTTGTTGTCCAACCACATCTACAGGCAAAAGTGTCCACACCAAGTGGAACGGTATACATCAGGACAAATCACAAAATTAACTCACACAACCTCTAAATTTGGCCATAAGAAAAGGGGTTTAAGGTGCTGCTAGACTAAAGTTTGATTTATACTTCTGCGTCGAGTCTTTGTCGTAGCCTACAGCGTAAGCTAGCCGTGCATTTACACTTGTGCATTGGTGTCTGCGTCGTTCTACAAAACGCTAGTTTGTGATGTAGCCACTGTGTTGACTTTTACCGGCCGAAACGGCTAACTTCAAGTTTAGCCCTCCGCTAACTTGAATAGTAGTTAAATGATAATCGTGCGGCTATTGTAGACTTTTAGTTTGAAATGTAATCAACTGAATGGATCACATTTTGATAGTGAAATGAGTTATTTCACGTGGGTTGTGAACACCATCCATGTTACAGCCGCTGGATTGGCCGCTAGTAAAATTTACTTCAAAGCACGCAGCACTTCCTGTCGGCTTGGAAGAAATGCAAGGCTACCCAGCAGACCAATCACAGTTCTCACGCTCCACGTGGCTCTTACATGTAGTTACATTTTTGGAGAGGTGCGCATCAGGCTACGCCTAGACTACACTGCAGATTCAACGCAGAAGTGTAAATCAAGCTTAACTGACAAGCACTTCCTTTAAAGCATACTAAGGCCTTCATTTTAAAGTGTGTCAAACTATTCTATGTCGCAAAAACTGCAATAACTCTACTTCATGCTACAGCTGCACTGATGTCACTCATCTGAGAAGAATTGTTGTACACATAATAATTTTGTTTGCTTTCAGGCCAGCAGAAAGAACAGGGAAGAACAGAACTTAGTTTTTGATGTATTTGATCTCAGAAATGTTAATCAAAAAGGTACAAAATCAAGCAATACTAAGGGACATGGTAATGAACTGATGATACAGCAAGTCCTTGTTCAGTGTTTGCTGTTAGAGTTGCCCCAAAAGATCCTGAATTGATCACAAGTGGACAGTAAATAAGTAAATATTCACTATAATGGAAAACAGCCCTAATAATATAAATCTCATAAATAAAAATAAAGCAGAATGTAAATATATACAGTTAATAGCCCATATTTACATATAAAAATATAGCAAAGTAACATTTAACAAATCAGGTCTGTGTGTAGGTAACTCACCCTGACACACACACACAGAAAAGCCTATATGCATCCAAACATGAACACACACGCATACACACGCTTAAAACCCTGACATGCATACGCACAAGCATACGCACAAGCACACACCCAACGCTGTATGTGGTGTTTTTTTATCTGCTTTGAATCCTTCCCTCTTAGAAGAGCCATGCACTGTTGTTGTATTTACGTTACCTGAAGTGCTGATTAAGTTCAGTAGAAGCATTGAAAGTCATGTCCACCCAAAAAAAAAAAAGAGCATTCATGGTCTCCATCTGACTTAATGGCAACATCGACATCCTCTGTTTCCTTTCCTTCATCCGACCCCTCTTCTTTCTCTTCCTTCCCAGGATCCCTCTCTCCATCTGCCAAACACCACAACTCTACTCATCCTGTCCCCTCACTACCCCCCCGCCCTCCCCCCATGCTCCATTCTTCTCCAGCCCATTAAGAGCTATCATGAAGCTAATTGCCAGTTTGATCAACTCTCTATGGACTAGGAACTGGAAGCTTTTAGCCCTCTGAGCGTAAGAGGAGAGACGGACGAGGCAGGAGGGATATAAGGGTGTGGGGGGGAATACGCCTCATGTCAGCTGGCTATCCCTTGTTGGATTAGTTGTAATTGCTTTTCTTCGTGTGCTGTGGTAATTTAAAAATGGAGAATAAGAGGAGGAAAACAGATTTTCATCTTTCTGTGTCGCTTACTAGACGATTTTCTGTGCTGTGAGCAACAAGTTGTACAGCGCTGTGGCAGAGGGCATCCGATATAGACCGACCTAAGCCTCATCAAGCTCATAACGGCCTTATAGTATCTTCCACGCTTGAGCTTCTGAGAAGGGGTGGGGTTAACCCTGACAGACTGCTGGGATATTCAAAGGTCATTTAAGCTGCATAACTCAATTTTTCGAGTGGCCAACTAGCCGAGTGTTGTGCAAACCTTGATCTCCAGGGTAATTGAATTGTTTCGATTTTGTTGGTGAGGCAAATGCATAGCTTCACTTTTTTGGTTTTGGAAGTTTGAAAGTCCTCTGGACAACCCCTAACACCCGAGACCTAAAAGCTGGGTTTTAATACTAAAAAGCTTAGTGATTTACATTTTAGTGGACTGGCATGTCTAGTATTTTCATTTTTAATCTGTTTAATTTTTTCTCCTACTTAGTTAGTAGCTACTTAGCCTTAAGATGTTTTGTGAATATGGCCAATGGATAAAAAAATTGTTTAAAAATCTGCTGAAAAACTGCCTGAATGCGAGTGACACGCAAAGATGAGACGATGATGATGAAGATTTGAAGATGAGAGGAGAGTGTATTAGGTGTGGCAGAAGAGGAAGAGAGATGGATGGAGGTGGGGGGCAGTGTAGGAGGTCGGTCAGAGGAGGGTGGTTGGCGACAGACTGACTTCTGGAGGAAACCTGACCAGACCCTCAGAGCTCCACTGAAGCAGCGCTGCTAAAAATAAGACAAGGGAGGATTCTTCTGCTGACAAAATAACATACACACAGGCTCTACATACACATTTTGTTGAACAGTAGGAGGACACAGACGTGCACACACACGCTGCCTAGTCACAATGGATGCACCCTCCTTCTGGTTAAATAACCTCTCATTCAACTCTAGGCTGCTGGGGAAACATTGTCAATCTACCTCACAGTGCTTTTCCTTTACAAATGAGCTTAATAGCTTTGAAATTCACGCAGTTTGTACAGTGCATGGTCCCTTTTTTGGTGTCAAACTGTTGTTACAGGTGTGTTACAAGTGTCTTTGTTCTCACTTTATGCCTCAGTGCTTTGCTCAGAGTCTGAGTCTGATATTGACCGCAGCACAGCGTTGGTTTCTTCATTAATACATCTTGAACCTTTTGTGGAGGTTTCTGAATGTAATTGTGGTCTAAGGCTTCAATCGCCCATACTTCTTCTGATTATCTCTTTCTAGAGGACAGAAACAAGGCTGGCATTGGCCATAAACATCGCCACAGGCATCTTTCCTTCCTGATTTGGTCCATCGCCCGTTTCTGTGCTCTGTGCCTTTTCTTTGCAAAGGGTGGGGAGGAAGGAGGTTCAACAATAAATAAATAGATTTTAACACGTCCAGATTACATCACAGAATGCGAGACAGAAGAGATTTCTGTCTGGAAGTCTTGGTTAAGGTTGAAGGGCAGTCCAGCAAGCACGGCAGCTTCTTCTTCTTCAGGATGAGTTTTTGTTTTTAGGCATGAAGTCTCCAATATGAACAGGCACAGTAAAGCTTTGGTCCCTCCTGAGCTGGAGAAGAAGTAAATTCAAGGTACATTAGGTGAGCAACACTTAACAATTGGTTGGTTGGCTTGTCATATGTAAAGGTGGGTCACAATGGCATTGTCATCACAATGTCGGCTGTGGCACTGTTGGCGACAGCGTAGCTTTGGCGGCAGCTGAGGGGAAATGGATTTACCTGGCCCCCATCCAGGCCTGTCATAACGGCTTCTCCAGGGCCTTGCTACGGAGTGAGGGATGACCAGGGTTGGGGTTAGAGGCGGAAATCTTGCGGCACACCGTGTTCGTGTTGCTGCATCTGCAGCCGGGGCGCGTGGATCGGTCATGGGCACACTGGCACAGGGCAAGGCACAGCCTGGCAGGGGGGTAGCAGCAGAGGCAGGGCAGGCAGAGTGCCAGCAGCCCCATGGTGCCCCAGCGGGCACAGGCATGGGCTGGAGCACAGGAGCACGGCCGGTCAGCACAGTTATCCTCGTCATCCTGGGCAGAGCAGTGGTAGAACAGGCCTTTAACACAGCACAAGCAGGTGCCGTATTCCACTGCGCTTTCGGCAGAGCACAGACAGCGCTGTCCACAGGCCCAGCAGGAAGGCAGGCGACGGGGAGCGCAGCACTCTTGGCACTTACAGCGACCACACCGCTCGCAGATGAACAAATGACGGCTGAGCTCAGCCTCGTCCTCTGTGAGGCCTTTACCCAAGGAAGCATCAGGCTTGAGTTCTCCTTTAGGCTGAGAACGGACCACCGAACTTAGGCCAGAGTGTGATGGTGTCAAACCTGCAAGTAACCGCTGGTCTGAGTTGGCGCTGGTCCGAGACATGGAAGAGCTTATGGTACTGGAACGGCTCAGGTGGGACAGATGAGCGTGCTGCTGCTGACTTTGGCTGCGGGGCAGGGCTGAGTGGAAGGAAGGCTGGGGGTGGTGGGAGTATACTCCATGAGGGTAACGGTCATCATGGGCATAGAAAAATCCGGACTGGGTTGCCGGTTCCAGTGCCACGGGCCTGTCCACATAGTCATTGTTGGCCCGGATGGCACGTATCTGGTCGAGTGACAGCACTGGGACCTGCTGGAGATCCAGCCCATCCGGCTCCATCCTGAAGGAATGAGCAGGGTCCATCCTGGTAAACCAGGCTGGGTGGTAGCAGGGCTGCAGGCCGGGGCTGGGGCAAGATGCTCCCAACGCTCACGGCACATCAGATAAACCTGCAAACACACAGAGAAAGAAAGCAATAGTGGTTAGTGATGTTGAATTGAACTTCCAACATCAAATTCCAGATCATCAAATTCAGACAAGCCTGTTATTATATAGACACAGGTTTTATTAAATTTATTGCAACTAGCTCAGCGAGGGCAGAGTACTCTTTCAAACCTTTCAGTTATAAGCCTTTTTATGTCATTGTAAGGTTACAGCATTGAGGGGATTTGGGGTAAATTCCCTCAATAGATTCCAGACCTAGCGCTCTTACATTTATAACCGTGTATGCCACAGATATAGTTTTGAACATCATTGTTATAAATAATTATCACCACAATTCATCATTGACTATCATCATTTTTATCAGTTAATTTTCTGTCAGTTAATAAATCAACTAATCATTTCAGCGCTATATGAATGATCCATCTATCCTAGACGGGAGTTTTGCTTTCTTTTACTTTAAAGTTAAAATCTGGAACCTTCTCTTATAAAGGTGTGTGCATTTATGTATCTACTCTTAATTAAATCTGTTCTAAACACATACTGTGGTGTGCAGGAACTGATGCCAGAAACAAACTGACTTTTGTTTCTGGTCTGTAAACAGAAAAAGATTTGCGAAGTGAGCATGGGAACCAAAGCCGCAATGGCTACACACCAAGTAGTACCTCCTACAGAAAGTCAAACTGCATTAGCTAAAAAACCCAAGGAAGAAATCATAGTCCAGCCCAGTGTTTGATTGACAGATGTGCTCTGAGAATAACGCACACAAATGCTGTACGCAAAGAGGATCACCACAACAGTATTACTTTTCCTCAGATAAGTGGAAAAAAACAAATCAAAACTTCGCAAAAGTGGAAAATAGGGCTCTGAAAGTTAGAAATCATAGCATCTGACAAAATAATTATTGACTTGTGTCAAGTTTGTTTAGACATTACAATAATGGTTATGTGTTATTGAGCAAGACAAACCCTTTTGCTTTCAGAGAACTGAATTAAGTTTAAAAAAAAAAAAAGCAAACAAATGTTTTGCCTGCGATTATTGGCAGAGACGGGATACAACATTACATTAGAGTAGTGTACATATTACTTTCCAAATATTTAAACAACACTTGATTAAAGATAGATTTTGGCAGCAACCTCCACACAACCATCAGCCATGTCATCATGACCACTGAGGTTCTCCACTGCTGACTCCACTCTGCTAAGACTATTATTAGCCTGCCAGAGCCAGAGAGATATGACCAAGAGGTCCACACTGTAATTTAGCATCTGTTTAAACACAGCTGCTGCTGCCATGGAGGAAACCCACCTGCAGAGAGAGAGCTGGAAGCATTGCCTAGCAGTAAGGAAGACTAATAGATGAACCGTAAAGTCACAGGTTTCATTCCGAAACAAATGTTAATAAAACTTCCAATATGTTTCATGTGGAAGGGTTAAGTTCACCTGCAAGGCTTTACAAGACTGCTCGGGTATCTGGATCAGTTCCATGCAGCAAATCAGATGCCTTATTTCAGAAGAAACGTTGATAAATATAAAGTTCCAATCAAGTAGCAACTCTCAACTCTCAACTACTACGGCTAATGAAAAAAATGTCTTTTTGTAAATTGGGTGAACTGGTTCTTTTTTAAAAGAGATTTGTTTTGAGGCACATTTGCTTATCATACTTGTAGTGTCGTTTGTGTTAAGTCAATGCTTCACACCAAGCTTCCTGACTTTTGACCAAATTTGGGTTTTCTGACTTATGCAAGTGATAAGGATGAGCATGAGATAGCATATAGTGCGCTGTGTACTCATTGTAATGCTTAGTAAGACTATAACTAAATGCTTAAAAGGTAAAGAGATATTTGAGTCCAGTAAATGCATGAACAAAAAATACTTAATCTGTTGCTCACTTTCAAGGGAACATGTGTTTCTTTGTCCTCCCAACCAATTTGCACACACTCATGTACACACACATACATGCTCAGCTATACATACGTAAAGAAACTGCAGTCTTGCCAAGTGGCCAAGGGGGAGAGAAAACTGGCTTGCTTCTCACATGGTGTCAGTCCTCTCTGAAAGTAATGAGGCCAAATGGAAATGCATTTAAAGCAGCAGCAGATCGTGGGATTAGATGAAGTAGGGAGGTTGGAGGGAGCAGCAGCAAATAACCATGTAATGCCACGTCCACATGACTAGATAGATTCATAGTTGATGTATCAGGGATCTTTTTGTCCAGATTAATGTTTCTCTGATTGTTATCGGTGTCATCGGTTTGCATGTACACTGACCTGCCAGAACAAAAGAGAATCAATTAAATCTTCTCCTTCATTCTTTTTTAATTTAATGGTGGTCATCCGATGGCAATTCGATACATTACTGCCACCCCCTGTTAAGGAGTATGGCTGAATGGAAATCCTGTTGTGATCGTTGAGGTATCGGTATGCTTCAACCAATGTGCTTGTAGGATAGTCGAACAGCATCTGAAATCCCTACATAGACCTTTCCTGCGTTGGAATTTGAGGGAGCCCAACTAGGGCTGTCGCGATAACCGCACTATTGGCCAAGTCTCCTGCGGAGGATGGCAAGCACCACAACAGCCGCAGTGTTCATACTTTACACTTCAGTGCGTGTTAAATTAATAAATGAGTGCTTCAAAAGTTCCACAACCGTATCTAGCTCTGTAACGGTTCAAGGACGGATCGCCATGTGCTGTACGTGACTTGCTACAAACAAGCTGTAAGTGTTGTCGTGTTTTGTGTTGTTTTACTGTTTAATTTAAAGGTTAGCTAACTTGACGTTAGCATATTGAGCAGCTAATGTGGCTAGCAGGCTCGGCGACGTTGGACTAACGTTGTAATCCTGAGGGACAGTTCAGAGAAACTGTAAACGTGAAGCCTCATTATAAGCTCACTAACTAACGAGCGTAGTGTGTCGGATGCCTGCAGCTGTTTTCATGTTGCTTTCTGTGGAAATTTAGTTATGACGTTACTACAGCGCAGACGTGTGTTGCTTTGGTATGTAAATTGACTTGTTAGACATGCCCTGAAGGCAACAATATAACTACGTGTGAAAAAGACACGTTCACACTACAAAAATGAGTTTGCTTGGCAATGTTGTTGACTAGCACCCAGCAGCTAGCTTTCTCCGACCATAAAGCTTCTGTTAGCGGCTTGTTGTGCAGTGAAATGAGATCCACAGACACTTACTTTGCTATATTATAGCACCAAATTACTTAATCGATGAAAAATGCAAAAATACCGCATACAGGGAAATTACTTCACCAAGTCCAACGTTTTTATGAAACCAATAATGCAACATTCACACCCACCTCATGCTTCGATCAGCCGAGTGTGGATGTGAGAAATCATGAGTCCCTTCTGAACATGTTATAGTCTCAACTTATTTATTCAAGTGGTTATTTATTTTTAGTAAAAAAAAGTTTTTAAGTCCAGATTATTGAAGCCTTGAGTACTTTTATTATGTTTGCCTTGTGTCTGTGTGTTTTTTGTAAAGATGGATCCCTCTACCGCAAACAAAATCGGCATAAATAAATGAACCTGACGATCTCTCTAAGGCTCTCTGTCTTCACACAACTACTTCTGTTATTTTTTGCATGTACACACGAGTACAACATTGTGGATGCTAATGAGTAAGACCTATTATGAATAGCTATAAACACTTTTGCTTTCAGACGTGGTACGTACTAGTTTCTTTCGACCATAACCGACCTTGAGTCCATTGTGCTTCTCTGCTTGGTCTGAGCAGGTTAATTATTTTTTTCTTGCTTCCTCTTGCTGGAGTTATTGTTACGCAAAGGTACATGTAAATGTATCTGCAGATCTAGAGATGGTGGTTATGAGTAACCAAATGCCACAGAGGCTCACGGATGAGCCAACATGCACACTTCCTAAATTTCAACAACTTGTTGGGCAACTCTGTATCAGTCAGACTGATCGGTTGATCAACTTTCTGTCGACATAAGTTTGAAACAGAAAACAAAAACATTCTTTCCACCAGAGAAGGATGTTCCAGCCCTTAACCATAGCCAATCCTTTGCTGATGAATTGAGACACTTAATCAGTTTTCTTATGTTCTTGCTGTTTATTGCTACTGGTTCACCTTTTATAAATAAATCCTCTATTTATAAACACAATGTTTTTGGGGGGGTTTTCCTAGTGAAAATAGAGAAGTCGTCTGTAATTTGTGCGGCAGAGAAACAAAACTCAAACTGTGTAGTCAATTGAAAATCCAAAGAAGGCCTTGCAGACATAGCCAAAGCAGGAGTCTGTTTGCCCCTGAGTCTGTTCTTACAACGTCATGCCCAATGTCTTCTTCCCTGTGCATGCTGGGACACCACATTAGCAGCAGCAAACAACACAGAAGATTACTAAACAGTAGAGATGGGAGATATGATCAATATCAATACCACATGTTTTTTAATATGTCATGTATAGCAAATGTATGCAAAATCACCTATAAGATAATCAAATTAATGTTACATTGAACATTGCAATGCTACACTGCCTTTTATTTCATTATGTGCATTATGTATTTAGGAATTTCTTTAGCCTACAAAAAAATAGTGGGAAAATCTACAATTCACCACAGTAAAAGTTGCTTGCTTTGTCCAGCTAACAGTCCCAAAACCCCAAATACTGTATATTCTGTTTGCTATAGAAAACAAAAAAGGCAGCAAATATTCCCATCTCAAAGGTGAGGGGAATTGCTTAAGAAAGATTTAAAAGGCTGATCAACATTCGTAATGGTGCAATGCAAATCATTTTTCTGTCGATTTGATGAATTTATTTGTAATCAAACAAAATTCTTAAGACAAGTAAATTACGATCAACATTTTTTAAATATTTGCTCTGATCCATCACTACTTTTGCCACAGAATTGTATACAAAAGATCAATGATCACATTGTATTCTTATGCTGGTATTTTAAATGGTTAAATAGGCCGCAGAGAAGTGCAGTGCAAAAGCAATAAGAGAGGAGCTAACAGAATGGGGGACATGGATGAAACC